GGTCTTCCCGGTCTACCAAGGACCCGGCCCTCCGAGACCGGGAAGTCTGGGTCCTCCAGAGGACCCGGCCTGTCGTTTTGGACACAGCGTGAGAGTAAGGACTCGGAGAACAGTTTAAATAAAAACCTGTTGGTTTAAGAATTAAGAAAAAAATCCACGTATAAGCCACACCGGACTATAAGCCGCATGGTTCAAAGTTCAGGAAAAAAGTCGCGGCTTATAGTCTGAAAGGTACGGTAGTTGCGTTCAGACTGTCATAAAAAATGAGATATGAGTCAGATTTGCCTGCAGTGTGAACGTAGCCATGGACAATTAACAGAAGAAAGCTGAAACAGCTGGACTTGTGTTGTGTAGCTGAAGATGTGGAGCTGCAGATGACTCAAGGTGTTGTGTTACTTTATGACTAAACATCACAAATCAATAATAAAAAGGTGTTTCTGCTTTTACAGATGTAGGATCTTCACCTGGTGGAGCTGCAGAGGGATCACCACATCCAGCTGCTTTATCTTCTGTTGTTTCTCCTGGTCGAGCAGCTCCAGGTTCTTCTCCACCTGCTGACGGTTCTTCCTGACACGTTTCTCCTGCCAGGTCATAAAAACAACAGAGAGGTGACAGGAAGCAGGTGAACAGAACCGCTGCAGTTGAGGACACGCAGGGTTCTGTTCACCTTCTTCACGAGGGTCTCCAGGTCTTTGTTCAGAGCCTCGGCGGCCATCTTCTCCTCCGCCAGCAGCTCCTCTAGGTCCAGCCGACGCTGGCGGAGCTGCAGAGTGTTTTCCAGCAGCTGCGGCTCACGGTCTGAGACACAAACTCAGGTTACTGCTGCAGGACGTGTGTCTTTAAAACGTCTCCTGCAGAGTCTCTGACCTGTTGGACAAACAGTCTCATCCACGAAGGATCCTTCGTCCTCACTGTCCTCATCTTCTGAGTCGTCTTCTTCGTCACTGTCTTCTTCCTCTGCACACAGATTCAAACAGTCCCGGTTTGATTGACAGCTGCGTTGCTTCCTCTCACCTTCACTTCCTGTCTGCTCCGCCCTCTTCGCTCGTTTGATTTTCTTGTTGAAGACTTTGGTCAGAAACTCTCTGGACGGGTTTTCTTCTCCCAGCGAAGCCTGGAAGGCCTCAGTCAGAGCTTCCTCTCTCTTCTGGAGGTTGGTTATTTCCTGTGTCTTCAGCTCCAGCAGCTGCTTGCACTCCTCCAGGTCCAGCTGTTGGGAAACAGGAAACAGGAAGATGAATGGAGACGTTCTGATCGGTGTGTGCGCTGGGAGAATCAGGTCAGCAGGTAAACAAGTGTAAACAAGCTAACAGCTAACGCTAAACGGTCAAGACTCTGGATTTATCATCACTGTACATGTTGACAAC